AACCTCTCCCATGAAAACAAGCAGAGAGTTGAGGTTGTGCAGCCTGGAGAAGAGAAGGCTCCAGGAAGACCTTACAGGGACCTTTCAGTACTTAAAGGGTCCTACAGGAAAGACAAGAAGGGACTTTTCACCAGGACATGTAGTGATAGAATGAGGGGTAATGGTGTTAAATTGAAAGAGGGTAGACTTAGATTAGATGTAAGGAAGCTCTTCACTGTGAGGGTGGTGAGAGACTGGAATAATTTGCCCTGAGAGGCTGTGGATGCCCCATCCCTGGAAGAGTTTGAGGCCAGGTTGGATGGGGCTTTGAGCAACCTGGTCTAGTGGGAGGTGTCCCTGCCCATAGCAGTGGGGTTGGAACTAGACGACCTTCTGACCCAACCCATTCTATGACTCTGTGAAACAGGATATACTGCAGATGGTTGTCCTTGGCCATACAGAGAGGAGCAGAGAGAAGGAGGCAGGGGAATGGGGTGACCTTATCCAGGAAGAGGGGCTAGCACTTTTAATCTGGCAGCAGCTGATGAAATAGAAGAGGGTTGAGCAAGGCTGGCAGGAGGATGCTGCATGTTGGGTGACGCCGTGCAGGAAATGACCGAGCTGCTGCTGAGTGATTTGGTGACTGAGAGGGAAAGGAAAGAGCTCTGTATTTAGGGAAACACAGAGGGACTAAGCCAACCTCAGAGGCTCTGGGGAGACATTACAGAGACCTTCCAATACCTGAGAGGGGCCTACAAGCAAGCAGGGGAGGGTCAACTCACAAGGATTTGGAATGACAGGATGAGGGGTAATGGCTTTAAGCTAGAAAAGAGCAGATTTAGGTTAGACATTAGGAAAAAGTTCTTTAACATGAAGGTGATAGACCACTGGAATAGGTTGCCCAGACAGGTGGTGGAGGCCCCATCCCTGGAGACATTGGAGATCATGCTTGATGAGGCTCTGAGCAGCTGAGCACAGAGAAGGAAAGCTCAGCCAGTGACTTTCTCGTCTGCTCTGCTAACGTTGTGCATGTAAAGCAGTTGGGATGTTCACACTGCTGTTGATTCCTACAGAGCTAATTACAAGGCAAAACATTGCTCCCTGTGAATACCAGGGGGGGTAACAATAACGTTATTCTTTAAGGAAAATGCTGCTATTCTGCACAAGTGTAAAGGGTCCATCTGGTGTCATGTTGGGGCCAGAGGGTCAGAACACCTATTTAATTTACAAGGATCCAGTTAAAACAGTGGGGTTGATCTCAGCCTGGAGAACAGAAGACTCCAGGGGGATCCTACAGTTGCCTTCCAGTACCTGAAGGGAACCCACAGGAAGGCTGGAGAGGAACTTTTCACAAGAGTGTCCAGTGACAGGACGAGGGGAAATGCTTTTAAACTGAAGGAGAGTAGGTTTAGACTGGATCTGAGGAAGAAGTTCTTCAGTAGGAGGGTGGCAAGATTCTGGACTAGATTGCCCAGAGAGGTTGTGGATGCCCCTTCCCTGGAGGTGTTCAAGGACAGGTTGGCTGAGGTCTTGAGTCAACCTGGTCTAGTTGAGAGGTGTCCCCGCCCATGGCAGAGAGTTTGGATTAGATGATCTCTAGGGCCCCTTCCAACCTAGGCCATTCTATGCTTCTATGCTCACAATAACAGCCTCCCAATGAACCTATTAAGGCCATGAACTGATTCCTGTGTGGTTCTTTCTTGAGCTGCCTTTATTTCTTTTTCTGCATTCTGCTGCCATTCACTGCTCTTGGAAGGAAAAGGTGAGGTCTGCTCTTGCTGCAGAGAGAGCTTAGTGCAGCCTTTCAGTACTTAAAGGTGCCTAGAAGAAAGCTGGGGACAGACTTCTTCACAGGGCCTGTTGTGACAGGACAAGGGGTGATGGTTTTAAACTAAAAGAGGAGAGATTTTGACTGTGTATAAGACAGAATTTTTTTCTGCTGAGGGTGGTGAGCCCCTGGCCCAGGCTGCCCCTGAGAGGTGGTCGCTGCCCCATCCCTGGAACCATTCCAGGGGAGGTTGGCCGGGGCTCTGAGCAACCTGCTCTAGTTGCAGATGTCCCTGCTCCCTGCAGGGGTTTGGACTGGATGACCTGGAAAGGTCCTTTCCAACCCAAACTGTTCTATGAATCTGCATTGTAAGCACAAGGTGTTCAGTCTGTGAAGCTATGGTCAAATTAATCTCCTGATCTGCAAAACAAGCAAAGGATAAGAATACGGGTTTTTATTATCTATGGTCAAATAAAACAAAAAGTTAGTTGAATGCATGCAGCATTTATAGGATATTGGTGCTCAGCTTACAGTTCTAATTCCAGCACTGGAAGAGGTGGTGAGATTTTTTTCAAAAGAGCTTTGTGTATTTGGTGATCATTTTTGAAATCCAAGACTACACAGGTAAAATTCAGGTTTCTGTTTGGAAATTTTGGGAAAAATAGTCCTGATTTAAGTGGAAAAAACAGACTTTTCAATTCTAAGCAAATAAAACGATTTTAAAAAAATGCCAGGTCAGCTGAAATGTTTTGCTTTCCACAACAGTTGTCAAAAATATTAATAGAAAATTTGAGAGCCCAAATCAGAAAATATTAGCCTTGTGAAAAATAATTTCAGGTGAAGAGACACTGAATATGCTGTTTAAAAAATGTTTACATCATTGCTTTTGATTTTTTTTATTTTGTCACTTTTTAAAACTCAAAATGCAACAAAACTGACCTATGAGCATATTGTGTGTTTCCTGAATAGTTTTTTGTCCCCGAAAATAAAGAAGTTCCTCCATTATTATCTGATTATCTGATATCTCACCTTCCAAAATGGGATTGGCCTCCAGGACCTGTTGCTCAATCCAGGAGTGCTGGCCACTGATCGCTGCCAGGAACTGCAGAATCAGTTTGGTGCTTTCTGTCTTCCCTGCTCCGGATTCACCACTGCAGAGACAACAGGAACTGGGGTCAGTGGAAGCTCTGCTTTCGTCACCTCCCTGCCAAAGTCCCCCTCTCTGTCTCCAAAGGGATGGCTGTCTCTGTGCCTCTTCTGTCAGCATGCACAGGACGAGGCCACTAAGGATGGTTTTCCATCATCCCAAGGACTGGTTGTGGGACAAACAGTAGGACACAGTACCAGACAGCTTCTACTCAAGATCCAGATTTGCTTTACAGTCCATTTGGCCCAAGCTGTTGCTTGGATTTTGGTCTCTCCAGCAAATACCAGCATTCAATCAGCAGTAAGAAGGTGATGAAGCACTTTCAGACAGTGCTTTCCCATGTATGATCACCAGACTATAAGCCTGTGGCCCAGAAGCTGGCTGATCCCATGGGGCATTTTTATCACCAGCTCTGAGCTGGTAAAATGCACTGGGAGGCAGACTGTAAAATGCTTTTTAGTGACAGGCACTTTCACAGCTCCCCTGGGCTTGTCCTACCAAGGGGCAGGTAGGAGAGGAGAAGATCATGGGGCAGGAAGCAAGAGTGACTCCTCAAAGCTTTCTGTCCACTGAAGGAGAACTTCTGCTACATTGCAATGGTACAGGAAGAAGGGCTGGGCAGAAGTCCCTTGGTGTGAGTCTGTGGCCTGTCTGATAGATGGGGTGGCCAATGTAAGTGACTGAAATGGACCTTCCTAGTGTTCAGTAACCACCCAAACTGTCTCACTTCTCAGGGCTGGCCTTGACTCTCCTCTAGACCCCCATATCATGATTTTTTTTTAGTCCTGCAAAGTAATCATTCTGCATTTTCAGTCCTACATATCTGAACTACTACACATGGGGTGCTCCGGAGTTAGGCTTTTATGAAACAAAACTAAGGGTAGGCACTCCTTGGAGAAAGGTGGTGCCCTGAAAGCACAAAGACTGTCTGAGGGTTCAAAACTTGATGGGACAGCACTGGACAACTGAGGGAACCCACGCTGCTGGGGGTGCAGCCCAGGCTGCTGGTGGCTTCTGGGTTGCGAGCGCCTGGGGCCGGCTCCTGGCCAGCCCCCAGCACCCCCAGGTCCTTCTCCCCAGGGCTGCTCTCAATCCACTCATCCCCCAGCCTGGATGGATACCAGGGATGGCCCTGACCCATACACAGGACCTTGCACTTGGTCTTGTTGAACTCCATGAGGTGGGCATGAGCCCACCTCTCAAGCCTGTCCAGGTCCCTCTGGATGGCCTCCCTTCCCTCCAGCGTGCCAGCTGTACCACACAGCTTGGTGTCATCTGCAAACCTGATAAGGGTTCATGATACATTTGGGACGGATATGAGAATGAATATACCCATAAAGGTGACCAGGCATTTCTTGAAGCCCAAGATTGATCAGCACAGAGCAGAGCCATGCAGGGAGACACCAGTTCAGCAGTGTGAACAACCACAGGTCTGGTGATCAAGCTTGTCCCTGGCCCTTCCTTCTGCAGAATGTACAGACTTTGCATCTTTGATGTCTATAGGAGTACTGAGTTTAAATTTAAAAGGGGATATTAAAGATGAATGTGAAATCTATTGAGTTGTAGGGTAAGTACCAAAGGATTGGTAAAGTTATCTTTACTAGGAACAGTGACTGCGAACAGAGACCACCTCTGCATGGGGAATATGGGGATGGAAGACCTACTAGGTCGTTCAAATTTCAGATTCTACTTAGAATCACAGAATTCTAGAACCATTAATGTTGGAAAAGACCTCTGAGACCATCAAGTCCAACCATCAACCCAACACTACCATGACCATCAAACCATGTCCCCAGGTCCCATGTCCACACATTTTTTGAACCCCTCCAGGGATGGGGACTCCACCACCTCCCTGGGCAGCCTGGGCCAATAACAGCTTACTTGATGAGCTGTTCCCTACCAACCATGTTGCACATGCTCAAGGTGTTTTCAGGAGGTGATCCATTTGGAAATTCACCAGCTCACCTTATGATACAACACTGGTCCTTGTTGTTGCGCTGCATGTTGAAGTAGCAGTTGTCAGCAATGGCAAAGATGTGTGGTGGCATCTCACCGATCTTCTTGTTGGTGTACAGGCGTATCTGCTCAGGTGAGTAGATGGGTAGGAGCTGGTAGGGATTTACTGCCACCAGTATTGAACCAGTGTATGTCTGGAGAAGAAGGACATGAAAGTTTATGGGGACAGTGAGATGCAGCTGAGAGGCTCTGGCAGTTTGGGTGGAGTATGTAGGCCAGAAAAATCAAGGCTTTTCAAAAGCTGGATGAAAGATGATGTTCAAGCCAAAGATGCTTGCAGGGTGAGGCCTGGAGCAAAACTGGAACAGAAGTCCCAAACTATCTAAATCAGTTCATACTCAGCTCTGCACATGCACAGCATGGATTCAAGCTTTAACTCATATTTTGGATGCTCCTCAGTTATGATTCAGTGTTTCAAGTCAAGCTCATATTTGCAAAAATATCCCCAGAGCCAGCACACACCTATTGCATTGCAATATATGAGAAGCTAGAGATGAAAGAAACCTGAAGACCATTCCCATATCTCGAAGCAGGACCAGCTGGATCAAACCACTGCTGACAGATGTCTGTCTACTCCATTTTTATAAATCCAGAATAGAGCTGCTAAGCCTCCCTCTGCAAAAGTTCTTCTCTACCATCTCTGCCTAACCCAAAGATCTCCATGTTGCAGTTTAAACCTTGTCCTGTGCACATAGATATGGCCCATAAATTCCTAATACCCCTTCTCAGCTATTTCTGATATTCTGGAAACAGTCTTGGGTCCATCCCTTGCTCTCTGTGGCACTTGAATGAGCAAAGCTCTCCTGGGCCGTGGGAACCAAATCCCTTTGTGGTGTCTTGGTTCATTTCTGTCCTTCCAGAAACCGTTTCTTTCGAGCTTCTCACCAAAGCCCTCATGACTTTTGTCATCTTGCTTAGATACAGCTCTGAGGTTAGGAGCTTTGGCCACATCCCAAGCTTAAGGAAAAGAATAAGGATCTCCTTCCCCTACTTCAGCTTTCTAAAAGTTAGTGTCTAGAGAAAGCAAGTCAACAGGGTTCCACCTCAGGCTAACCAAGGGGAATGACATGAAGACTACTTTCATTCCATGACTTCAAAGGAGCCAAGTTGCCTTCTGTAGGTTAACTTTGGGCAACTAAAGTCACAAGATGAAGCTCACCTTTCTTAACCTGGTGGGACCAGCTGTGGAAGTGGCTCCAGTGTTGCATATATTCTTCTCAGGAGAAGAAAGAATTGCTTCAACAGAAACAGAATCCTTATGGGTTTTTATCTGCATGGCCTAAAACCAACAGTAAACCTTTGGCACAAATCAGCAAAGTGGCATGGACAAGGATGCTTGTGAACTGAGAAGAAAATCTCTCTGGGCTCTGCTGTCTTCTCTTCTTGTGCATACTGCAAACTGGCTGATGAATAGAACAAGACTGAGCTGTTCCTCATTTCTAAAGGCAGCAAAATAACTACCACTGCTGGTGAGAGGAGTGGAAGGGAGACCTGGGGACACATGCTCCTGGTCGAGTTTCTCCTATCAAGGCCAGCATCCCTCAGTCGTGACGGAAAGGGCTTGAGTGCACGAGATGACGATTTGTTGGCCATGATCTACACAGCACTTCCCACCAGGTCAGGCTTCCAGAAAGGCAGCCAGTAGGTGGCAACTGTGTCCTATAGTAGGGATGCTGAAAGCCTTTAGGGACTCCTCACCTTCTAGTCTTATGGCCAACATCAGGGAGCAACTTTCTGCTCAGTCCCAGGTGAGGTTTTAGTTTACAATAGTAACTGAGAAAGGACACAATAGACTTCCCTGTAATAGGGGGTTATGTGTCAGTAACAGAAAAAAAAGCTCTTTAAGCTTAAGAACAAAGTTGTCACAAATCCAAAGGGTAGAAATTGGCTGTGAAATCACGTAGAGCGGACGTTAAAATAAGGTGGCATTGAAATAAGGGACCAGAGAAGTCCCAGAGCAGCCTTCCACAGCAACAGAGCAGTTTAGTGCTCTGAGAAGAAGTGAGCTCCATTTGTGAATGGAATTGTGTCACAAAGATCCCAAATGAACCCTGAGACTCCTTCCAGTTCTGGCTGAGACACACAGAAGTCTTTCCCTCTTCATAATTTATCACCAGGTTAGTTTTAGGGACATTTCCTATCTCTCATGAGCCTCTTTTCAAAGAGACTGACTCTTTGCAGAAATCCCTGTTTCAGCCACACTGGTCTGCCCTGCCTCGAGTGCAGCCAGGGAGAATTTTAAAAGAGTTAACCATTAGTTGTAGGAATGTTTTCTGGATGGCTCACTGACCCTTCCCTTGTGATCCACAAAATACTTTGTCAGCACGAACCCTTGCACTATTGTGTGGTTTTGTAGGTCATTCCTAGTTGATAAATACTCACAATTTGCTCAGTTCTCCTGGAAGGCAAAACTTTGTCCACTTTGCTGATGAGGGGCCCAAAGGGCACCTCCAAGGAAATACTATCTCTCTGGTTTCTATGGATGGGTGAAGGGAAAGCACTCCTGTCTTGGGACAATAAAGCTTTGCTGACAGGCAGGGCCTCTGCTGTAGCTGACCACAGGAACTACAGCTGAGTGTAAATTCATTACTGTCTGCATGACCTACATTGTACTTAGCCCCAAACAAATCCCTTCTGAGCCTGCTTCCCTTACTAACCAGAACACCATGGCTCACTTCATCTGGATTTTTATGTGGCTAAAGCTCTACCAAATGTTACTGCATTTTGGCAGTCCTCAGAGAGCAGGAGCAGGCATTGTTTTCCTCTCCAGATAACGAGATTTATCCTTCAAGTTGAGGTTAGTACTGAGAAGCACTGACAGCTTTAACCACATTCACAGGCTGAGGACTTGCAGGCTGTGGGAAGGTGTCACAACTTCACCATGAGGGTCAAGCTCTGTGGCAAAGGGGGTGATGCTCTCAGTGCACTTGTGCAGCAGCAGCCATGGTGGTGCAACGTAAATGAAAATGCCACAAATGGTGAACAGAAACAAGTGATTGAGTGGAAGGCATGACAGCGATTGCAAATGACAGTGCCAAGAGTCATACTCACCCTCCCGCCGCAGTTTGTCTTATGAGGGAGGAAAAAAAGGGAAATTATCTTTTATTAGAGCAGAATTAGACCCTTCACAAAGCTTAGGAAATGAAGAAACAAGAGGGACTGAAATCCAGTTGGGAAAGTCACCTTTTACTCAGTAGGTTCAGAAAACCTTTCAAACAGTGAAGGTCAAGTCACACTGGGCTTCACCATCTTTAAGACAGAGCAAATTATACCCCTGATAAAAACATCTCAGGGGGATGAGTATCCCCATGGCATCCCTGCAGCACCTTGGCTTTGCAAATCTGCCATCAACAGTCATCCCACTCAACACAAATCTCCTCCTCCTAGAGCCACCTCTTTTAAAAGATGAGATCTAAAGTTGGATTCCTCAGCCTCCAACAACACGTGTGTAGGCAGAGGTGGTTTACATCCCCCTCTATCAAGCTGTATGCTCTGTGTCATTTTTGGAGGCTCATTCTGATTTAGAGATTGTGCCAACTGCTGCATCCAGGATCGTGGGCTGGCACTCCAAAGCCATGAGTGGTGTGGAGCAGCCGAGGCACAGCAACCTGGGACCTCTGTGATTCAAACCCCATTGGGGGATAAAGCCATCCCTTGTGCAGGAGCTTTGTAGGACACATGGCTCTGTTACCAGCATACCCAGGGAACTCACAGAGAAACCATGTGGTTACTGAGTCACTTCAGCCCAAATCACCACCCACATTCACCTCCAGGTTAGCAGCTGCCCTTTGCATTAGCCCGCATTAGTCTGATTCTGCCGAACAACTCTCTGCCCAGTTCTTGTTTGTGTTTATAATCTCCCTGGCTGCCTGTGAACAGCTTGGTGAGGGAGCTGGGAGGCAGAGCTTTACTGAAGGAGCTGGTTTCATTCATGGGCAATCTGATACTGCACATGTGAAATCTTATCTGAGGACCTTTGTTCGCTTAGCGAGGCAACAGGCACTTGCCTGATGACACAGGGACCCCAGGAGGGGCACCACTGAAAAAATATCCAACATGATCTCAGCCTTCCCAGAGAGAAGGAGAGAGCTCCAGGAATGCAGCTGGTACCACTGCAGGGTGATCACAAACAGGAGAAAAAAGGGCAATGGTCAACGGATAAATACACGCTCGCTGAAAACAGCCAATGAGCTACACATTCTTCTCTTGCTTCATATCTGGGCTGGCATTCAGGTTGCTGGAATTCAGCTATGCACGAGCACTGCACCAAACCTTGAAGACAGACATGCTCTGAGCTAGAGGAGGATGGACTGTAGTCCTCCAACCTGAACTTCCCTTCCAACGTAAACTCTTTGATGATACCCAAACCAGCTCCAAAGCAGACACCTCATCTAACAGGCACCTATGTTTGCACAGCTGAAAGGTTGTCTTGGTTCTGTTGGTTTTGTTGATACCTCTGGTGACTGCCCTGGGTGCTTAGAGCATGTGGAGACATCACCTCAAGTATGAATTTGGGCTGCTGGCTTTTGGTAGTTTATCATCATAAATGGCTGTGGCTCCCTGAAGAGAGCTCCAGGGAGTTACTCAGGTCATCTAACATGTGAGTGATCTTCTACTCATGCCTTTTTCTCTAAATTGACAAAACAGGGGACCTACACATCATGCACAACAAATAAGGTGTGAGTGAGAAAATCATTTGGGAGGTCTCTAGTGTCCTCCAAGCTTTGGGGACTTAGGGGTGCCTTTTCAGCAACCATGTCCCCTTCATCCAGGATTGAATTCCATCTCTGAAAGAAGAGGTGGGTATCTTCCAGAGTTGGGGTCAGGGAGCTGTCAACCACATGAACTGCCTACATAACAGAATGGTGTGCTCTCCATCACTGCCCAGCTCTAACAAAAAAAACCATCCTTTCTAAAGGCACTCGACACCAAGCAGAACAAGAAGACTTGACAGATAAACTCCTGGGTATGGTCTGTTAGCTTATGCTACCTGGGAAGTCTGACTGCACTGCAATTCCTTCTGGCCTGAAAATCTAGTAGTCTCTAGAGCCTTTTAAAAGTTAAAAGACCAGGTGACTTTGAAAAGGTCTTCAAAGACACAGCAGGCACTTCCTCAAATATAGGAAAAATGTGGGATTTGAGAGCTATATTAAATTTTCCATATTTTCATAGGCTGTTTAAGTGCATTTGCTAATGGCAAAACCAGACACAGCCTCCGCACTTCTGCCCCAAGAATGTGCACCAGCCTACACAGCCTATGGTACATGGATAAAGCCAGCACAGGGACCTGAATGCTGACTCTGGTCCTGCTGGGAAGTGGCCTTTGCGATGTTAGTGCAGAAAAGAGACTCAGTTCTGGCTGGATTCCTGTAAAAACCCCAATTCCTGAACATCTGCTTGGGTTGGCAAGGCTACACCGGGTCCACTGGGCATGACATGACTGAGCTGGTCTAAGGAAGGACACTGCTGTCCCCTGAGATCATCTGTCAGGGTCCCAGGCAACCCAGACATAGTAAGTCATAAACACAGATAGATGGAGGAGATACTTTAGAGCTGTTCTGGGAGTTGGTCACTTCATTGTTCCCAGTTATTTCATGCATGCAACTCTTCATCCTTCCTCCAACCCTTGCAACTCCAGCAATTGTCTTCATTCACTTGGGTTGAATGAATTCATGGTTGAGAGTGAGAAGGCAGAAGGCTTTTCCTGTAGGATCACTACAGAGTGCACATGGCCTGGGCTGAACTGGTTACTCCATGTGCTGAAAGTTAATGCATGTCCTCAGAACTTCTACAGGAGCTACAGAGTGAGGTAGCACAGACTTTGCTCCTTACCTAACTCACTGGGTCTTTCACTAGGGCATCCATAAACCCTGCAATGTGTCCTCTACAGTGCAAGTGCCCTCCACACTTCGATCTGGGTGAAGGTAGGAACCCAGATGCTCAGTTCAGTCAGGGTTTCCCCCATGTGGGTTCCCCAGAACTAAGGAGGACAGTCAGTGTGGTGCAGAGCAAGAGATGGAGAGGACACTCACGTAGATGAGGTGCTCCCGATAGCGGATCAGCAGGTTCCTGAGGATTCCTGCCTCGTTCAGGTCCCCCAGGCGGATCATGTCCTCCACCCCATGGATGGAGGTGGGGTGCATGGGTTTGATGTGGCTGGCATTCTGTGGGGAAATCCAGTGCTCCTGGAAAGAGAGCGAGGGCAGAGAAAGATCAGTCAAGTCCTATCCATCTCATGAGGATGAGCGAGAGAAACAGCCAACCCTAGAGAGAAGAACCAGATGGAAGAACATACAAAAGAGAGCATCACCAGAAGAAAGAAAACATCATTTGGTTTACTGAAGGAGCAAGGGACATGAGACACGAGCCATCCTGGCAGGAGCACCATCCAGGGCAGCATGGACATTCAGTCCATCAGGGCAGTTTTTAACAAAAAGCAAATTTGTTCTTCCCTTCACACAACTATAACTGGTTAACCCTGTGCCACAAAGTATTGTTGAGAAGGGAAATGATGATTTAGAAAACAAGAGAGGGTTGTACAGGGATGGCAAAATCACACCCTTATTTGGAGCATTGTTTAGACTGAGCACTTCTATAGGGCTTCAAAAGCCACCACAAATTGGACTCAAGGACCCTGTTGAACCAAATCTCTTTCTACCGTTCTTGAAGGGAGTGAGAACAGTTTTAGTTATCTCAGGCTGGGAAAAAAGTGATAAAAGACAGAGAGGCTCCTCATAGCAGCCTCTGCTTCTGATATATATGTTACTCCAGAACAGCCACCACTGCACAGAAGTAGAGGTGGGGAATTGGAGGAGAACCAGTGATCACAGCACATCCTGTATTGGTAAGAAGTAAGGAAGGACTGGATAACAGCAGAGGAACAGCAGGTCGAGGTAGGTTTGCTCAAAACACTATCTAAACGTACTTTGGAGGCTTCTGTTACCATTGTACTCAAGAAGCCTCCCAACCTTTCACTCCCAGAACAGCCACAAAAGTGGGAGCATGACATTATCTTGTCTTCACAAAGAGAAAACTATGGCATAGCTGAGTCCCAAGGACAAAGTCAGTCATCGTGACCCTATGACCCTGGTCAAGCCACAGAGCTGAAGAAGGGTCATCACAACCCTTTGTACGTACATTGCCTTCATCATCCACGACCTGGATCTGTCCGGAGTCACACAGTTTAACCACTGCTCCAATGGGAACATCGAATTCCCGTCCAGTTTTGAGGTCCATCCACACATAATCCCCCTGGAACCAAAGAGAGAACAGTTACACTTGGAGCTCCAAAAGGTTCAGCATCCCTCAGGATAAAAGATGGTGATATTTTGGACCCAAACCACTGGTAGCAGTCAAATTACGTCTTTGTAAACCACAAAAGATCCCTTTCTCACAGATGCTCAGGAAGTCCCTGCAAGGTAATAGCAGCAGGGCATGCTCCACAGAGCACACACCCACTGCACTGTCTGTTTCCTGAGCTCATGACTGGTTGTTGGGCACAGACTGCATCTAGCAGGCAGGTTACAGAGCAGTGATACAGGAAGAAAAACCCACTTGGTTAGAGATTTCCCTTTGTGCACTGTACAAGCCTAGAAAGACACACCTAGGATATGATTTTGAGCCCTGGAAAGCCTTGTCTGGAGGCTTGTGGCATATTTTTCCCTTGCAGATAACCACTACAAAATACGCATTCTCCTCCCTGGGAGACTGGTGAAAAGGGGATGATTAAAGAAAGGTTAAGATCATACCAGAGGGGTGGGTGTGTTTGTATATATATATATAAATTCTTCAGGAGGTCTCCCAGCTACAGCCATTTGTAGGTGGGCTGTTTGCATGTAATACTTTTCAGTGGATTTTATCTACTATGAGCATGTCCAACTGCTTCCTGAAGCTGTACAAAGCTTTATCATCCATGAACTCAGAGTTTAGCTACGACCAGCATGAAAAGCTGTGTCCTTTTGCATGCTTCAAATGTGCCACCTCTTTCATTCGAGACCTCTTTGTTTTTGTTTTGGAAGACACAACAAGCAGTTGACCCCTATCCACTCATTCCATGTCACTGGTGATCCCACAGACCTCTTGTCAGTCCTGCTGGGCAGGGACTATCTGCTCATCAGCTCTGGGGATATTAAATGACTCGAATGCAGACAGGCTTTTAAAGAAACTGTTTTCCTCAATACAAAAGCAAACTCCAGAATAACCCAAAACTAAATTCCCAAGCGGGACCCACACTCTATAAAACAAGGGAGAATTACTTCTCATCCCTATTTTCCACGTGAAGAGATGATAAAACTGGGAGCCACATAGACAAATCCCTGCCAGGCATGTTTGCAATCAATCAAGCAAAGGTATTTTGTCATGCACCCGAGTTTAAAGCTGTGAACTTGTAGCCCCACCTAACTCCACGTTCCTGGGGGTCAGCTCCACTTGTACCCATTAAGCACAATGCAGATGCAGTATCTGCCTTTTGATGTCATGAAAATCTGCTGGGAGAATGGAAAGTGGAAAATAGGAGGGGTCACTCTGCATCTGCTCTCTTATAACCTCTTTCCTAAGCATTCATTATTGATCATTTCTGCAGACAGAGTATTTACAGATTTGGGTTGACCCAACTGAACAACCTTCAGCTCCACTCTGTTTGGTGGGAACTGGAGACATCTAGCAATATAAACCATGCTGAAACGTTCACCACCCAAGTCACTTCCCACCAGGACTTCTGAGACACCAACCTGTGAGTGCCACAGGGATGGAAGGCTCTGCCCAGAGACCAACACATGGAGAAATGCTACCCACAAGGAGAGCCCAGCCATTCTCTGGTAGGCTCCACCTTTGGCAGCTGCTTGCTAGGTTTTGTCTAGGATATCAATAAAGTCATCTGCATTACATGGAGCTGAGGATCCAGCCCTTTGTCTGGGTTGTCATTTCCTTGGAGAGCTGTGCTACAGCACTGTTATAAGTATCTTCAACATCAAAACGTGAGTTCTTACCCTCACATCTTATAACTCAGTTAAAAAGGGAAAAAAAAACAACAACCCACTAATGAACACATGAAGTCATTCATAGATACATTATAAATCCACTTATGTTAATATTTATTTCTTAGCTCCTTTGATCCAAGCCTCTCACAGCATTTCACAGTGCTCAGCACTGTCGCTCTTCCTGCATAGCTGGGCAAATTCATGCATAGGGTGGGTAACTTGATCAAGCTGTCAGGAGGAGAAGGGCCAGGTTGCTCAGCCAGAAAGCCCTTCTGACACCTCAGAAGCTGTGTAAAAACTGCTCTCGATAAGAAAACAAGAATTGTAATGCTGGGTTTTTTCATTTGTTGGTTTGACTTGTTTGTTGGTTGGGTTGGGTTTAAAACCCTCTAATTTTTGAATAGCTGTAGAAGCAGCCTGCTCTCCCCGAGGGGAACTAATACTGTACTACCACTAAGACAACTCCCATGATTTGCCTGCCAAAGGCACAGAGTGCTCGTCCCCTCTAAGTGCCCTTTCTGAACACATTAAAGTGCAGTTCTTAACACTGGTAAAAAAAGTAAGTCTTATGGGATGGGCTAAGCTGGTAAGCTCAGAAAAGTCTAGGAGGGGTATAAAATAACATCACTTATTAAGAGTGCCAACATATTTCCTTCCCTGACTTTAATCAATTCGATATAAAATCCGCGGATGTCAGTCAGACGCCTTTGGCTGACGCAACCACCTTTGGATCAGCCCCCAAAGCAGCAGATATATTGGGGATTTCGGGGCAAATCGGGGTGATTCATGCCTTTACTGGCTTGGGCAGACTGGCTTATAAGTTGCATAACCTGCCTCACGCCTGGACTGATGCAGTTTATTTTCCAGCACACACGATGGAGTGCTGGAGAAGTGAGAATGCCACCAGTCGCTTCACAGTATCAACCTGGTCCAACTCTTCCTCCTCAAGGCAGCCTCTGGGTGCTAGAGTCCTTCCAAATGCTGTGGGGCAGACCCTCAGGACCTCACCAGCTATGAGCAGGGACAACCAAACAGTGGGGCGAGAGGAGGAAACAGCACGAGGGGCTCACACACAGATCAACACAATTCATGAAGAGGTTCTTGAGGAAGAGTTTCCAAATGCAAAAAGCAAGAAGGTTGCACCAGAGGGGAGCTACAATGCTTGTTGGGGGAGCAAAGACTCTGGAGGAAGGTGAGAGAAGCTGGCACAAGTAGTATGAGGAGCCCATCAAACAGTGGGATCGATTTCAAAGTAGCCTGAAAGCTCCCAGCCATGTTTAGAGCGTAGGACCTCTATCTTACCGCTAAAATGGTTGTGGGCTTCAGGGCCTGGTTGACATTGCGGAGTAGTGTCCATTTGCCTTGGTCTCTCTCCTGATCTTCAACCACCTCAGGGCATGGCTGCACGAAAACAACTTTCTTCCTCTTCAACATCTCCAAAATCTTGCAGTGATATCTGTCCCTCTCTCTGCTTTCTGTGTAGATTCCACCATGAATGCCAGGGAGATGTGGCCTCTGCTTTAGACCTCCAGTGTGACCATGCTTGCTGCTTGCAGGACACCCTCTGACCTGATTCACAATATGGGTCTTGGTAAAGTTCTTCTCCTAGCAGTGAAATTTCCACACACCAGCCATGGTGCTCCACTGGCCAGACAGCACGCTTGCTCCACAGATCTGGTGCTGCAAAATTCTCAGAGAAAACTGAACAGCTTGGCTTCTCTTCACTTAAATTCTTCCAGTCTCTCCAGGAAGGGCTGATACTTGGTCAGAGACCTGAAGGACACTGCAACCACTCGTTCTGGAAAAATGTCTGCAGGATTTACAGGAAAACTCTTCATTTCCCTGCGACTTCTCCCCGTTCCCTTTTCTTCTTAGAGAAATAATTGTCTGCCAGCTCGAGGACTTTCAGCACAGAACACACTCGGGTGCTTATTAATCCACAAATGCAGTCAGTCCCTATGCAACACATGGCGTTTAATTAACCTAATACCTTTACATACCAAATTAACCAAAGCGCGGCGGGAACTCAAAACCAGAGGCCATCTGCATTTTCTTTAAACTGATCGCCTTGAGTAGATCCATAGCAACTGAATTTTAAATAATTGAGTGGAAGGTGTTCAGAGTAGCACGGCCTCTGTGCCTATAGGTGAGAGGAGCCCCTGGGCTGTGGATGAAATTGTGCTGAACTTTAGCACTGTGGAGATAATGAGGTGGCCCTGACTTTACATCTGGCTGCTCTACAGACCCACTTCTGCAGTCCCTCCTTCTGTATAAGGAGAACTGTTCTTCTAAGGATTTATCATGACTGCTGATTCTCTCATTTTCATCCAGGACAGACTTTTCTGCTCATTCAGAGAATTTGAGGCCACCTCAGCTAGACCCCATTCTCTTCCATGGAGATCTTGAATCTAACTCAGCATCACTTGTACAGAGCAGAGCAATGCATGAGTAGACAGTGGTGCAGCTGCTAAATTTTCCATGACATTCTTCATTCATCACAATCTTAATGCAAAACTCTACTGATGCCTTGATTCCACAGAGTTTTGGATCCATTTGCCTGTGATGCAGAGGACATAGTCTTGGTGGAAAGTTATCTAGAGGAACAAAGGCTTTATAAGTCCCCTTAACGGGGGATAGTCACCAAGACAGCCATAGATGATGGATATATCAGACTCACACTGGGCTAGTTCCTCTCACTTCCCATGAACAGCATTTGCAACAGTGAGGCAATCCTGGATTAATACCTTTGTGGGCTTAAGCCATATTACAACAACCTGGAACGATAAGGTGTCAAATTCCTGTAGCTGTGCAAGTGAAGCAAGGAAGAGGTTGAGTCTTATGGATAAGAAGCCAGGTGAGAGATTAATGAGATGGAAGTCTACCAAAGGAGCAAGCAAAAGATGTACATGAGATGCAATAGTAATGCAGGGAGGGGACAGATCAAGTGTAGCAATCTCATGGGAGATGTCTACACCCAGCATGACCTGAACACACAGTGCTGTAAAAGTCTGCTTTTTCATCTTCATTCCTCCAAGACAGATGTTCAGTCACAGCTAACAATCAATGAGACCATGCAGGTCAAAGGAAGAACTGAATACATGTACGTCACGGAACCCGCAGGATGGACTCTCTGGATTTGAGCTGGGTCCTACAGATGCTCTTGGCTCATCTTTCCTCACTGCCACCCCACAGCAACTGGGGCAGTGTGGGAGCAGCAGATCTGAGGAGGGGCAGCCAGTGATTTCTCTCACTGGGAGCAACCATTCCAATCACTGCTCACCTACACCCCGTGCCAAATTTCCGAGCCTGGGTATCTCCGTGTGCTACCAGAGAGCAAACTAAGGAGCAGAAGAGTGGAATGATTTGCCCCAGGTTAGCCTTGGAGCAAAGCAGAAATGGAAGCCCAGAGGGCTCGATCCAGTCTCTGCAGTCCTAGCAGATGGGTGTGCTTTATTCTGCTGGGGCTGCAGAAGGTCTGCAATTCCACACCTTGCCATCGTGGATTTTTTTGCATCGCTCCTCTGCTAGCAGGAGGTCTTCTGAGGACTCGTTAGACGGAGTCATGTGTCAGGCAGAGGCCCTTGGTATGTGCAGAGCTCTCTGTCTGAACGGCCCCATCAGGCTGGCTCCTGGAAATGGGCAATCCCATCCCTCTGAAGGGATGGCCAGGCTTGTAAACCTCCCTTCTGTGTGCAGGAAGAGGCAGCGCAGCAGTGATATGCCTCCTCTCAGCACGCTTCTTCTGAGGCAACGTGCTCTGCCTTATGTGGGAAACAAATGAACACACAAAGGACAATAAGGGGAAGAACACGATGGAGGAAAACAAACCTTAGGCTGCCTGGCAGCCTGTCAGCAATGCCATCCGGTTTGGATTACAGCTCTCCAGGGTAACATTAGACTCTTCACTGCAGAGATGGAAGCATGAGCCCCAAGAGCCATGCTGGACCCTGATCCGATGATTTACTCCCTCTGCTGCAGCAGGCACAGCTGAGACCGAGGCTCTGCTGTCACACGCTCTGTGCAGAGTAAGGAGCAAATGCTTATCCTAAGGAACTGATGTGACCCAGGCAATAGGTTTATGCTGCTGCTGACACCTGAGCTCCCATTAAGTGCTACCGTGGCGGTGTGGAACTCACTGCTGGAGAAAAAGGGGAAATGCCACCCACAGGAACCACCCTCACCGCAGGTGGACCACCTAACTTAGTGAAAGCTTGGTTTTTTTTTTGCCCCAGCCTGTTTTTAAGACCCAAAGAAGATGCATCAGACACTGCCAGGCTGAGAAAGTGTTCTTGAACCAGTGATTTTGCAGCGATCACTGAAAAGCTGAGTTATTCAGTGAAACGGGTTGGGTGGGACTCGATTAACACGGGGCATGTGCCCACCTCTGAGCAAGAACTCTGATCTTTGCCAGATGATGACCATTGTAGGTCCCTTACAACTGAAATTCATTCTCTTCTCTCTTCTCTTCTCTTCTCTTCTCTTCTCTTCGGAAATTAAGAAGCACTTCTGCAGTCACCTCTGCATAAAGCAGGTAATTAAACCAGAGAGATGATGCTGACCTAAATGGGTGTGTGAAGAGGACAGTGTGCTGGTAGGATTCTACAGAACAGGTGTCCAAAGCTAGCTAAGGCAGCTCCTACCTCTAGCATGGATGCTGGAAGGCTCCAAGGGCTGATATTTAGGTAAATTCCTGAAGGATATGGAAAATCCCTGGTTATCAGAGCAGTGGTGCTCCACTAATTGCTCCCTGCAGCACCAAACTTACTTCCCTAAAACAGGAGGGATGATGCCCTTCACAATGGCTGCCGATACAGTGTGGGGGCCAAACGAGATCTGTGAGCTACACCCTTGACAATTGATATAAAACAACCTGTTTAGGCAGCCTTTTTTTTTTTTTTTTGGGAAACAGGCACAATTTCATAACCAGGTCTCCAGGGAGCTAATTCCAAACTGGGTCCTTTACTCCTTTATTTCCTTACTGCTTGTCTTTGAAGCAGAAAATCCTTAGTGCACACAGCCCCAACTGCTATCAGGCATTTCCTCAGCTGCAAATTTCTGTCCTTTGGAGAGCAGACTGCAATCTAAGCATCTTGGTGCATGCCGGCATCTTATGCCAGTTCAGACTTCCAACAGCTACCTGAATCCTTCGGCCTGTATAATGTCTGTGCTCTTCTAAACCCACGTATCATCACCTCCAGATATCACCTGTCTGATTCAGTTCAGCTCTCGATTACACGGCTGTACCCTGCTCAGTTTGATGGAGCTTCTCCTGGACCCGCAGCTGTGCAACCCAAGGGAGGACTCCAACTGCTCATCTTTATTCTTTGCACTCCTCTTTAGCTGTGCAGCTGCCACCCCCTTCAAGAAAAGGTGGGAAAGGAAGGAAAAAAATGGATTTCGACTTAACAACAAACTGTGGTGCAAGAAACACACATGCTGGGAGTCAGTAACCTTAATAATGTCCCTGTTTCATAAATAAATAAGATTCTCTTCCCAATTGCTCAAAGCACATCAGGCACCGGCTGTCAGACAAGGGAACAAGCTTCACACAAAGGCTTTCTGAAGCA